ACACTACAGGAGGGAAATAAAGCCTCTGCATATAAACTCGGAGTGAACGAAATCATGGTTCGGAATTGGAGACACAGGGCTGCGTCCAGAATAGCACATTTATTAGGACGCAGCCCTTATGGAAAACCGAGAGTGGCCGAGATACCAGCAGCTTATAGCCCAGTGTGGCTTATGTACGTTTCCATTTTTCATTTTTTTTATTTGTAGGTAATACGGTAGTTAAGTTTGCTAAGATATTCTCCCACATTATATTGACATTAATATGGAGCATAGACATTTAAAATAATGAATTCTTTGTCAAACTGCAACAATCCTGTCCTAATCTAAAGACACTGATCACTGAGTCCATGCTGTTTTCCAGAATAAAAGCCTCCTGGTTTCCTTCCTCTTTTAATTCATAGAAGATTCTCAGCATCAGGCAGTAAGCTGTCATTAATATTTAATCCTTTAAATCCTGTTATACTAAAAAGTTTCTTTCAGGCACAAGATGTGGCAGAGCAGCAACAACCAAATGGTGAGTTTTATCATCTGTGCCCTACCATAAGCCCAGGCTGGAAGAGATAACTTTAATATTTATAATAATATCCATGAATGGCTTCAAAAAGACTCAGTTTTGAACAAGGATATTTGAGCTTTTAAACATGAGAGGGAAAAATGTTTTAACATTTTGTAAAATGAATATTCTTTTGAACCAGCAGTTTGTTTCTTTTGTGTATTTTAGTAGTTTATTTAACTTGGTTTCTGATTTCACACTGAGTTTTGTTGGTCAAAATTAGTTTAGTTAGGTGTATTTAAAAAAATATTTTTTGACATAATTTTTTAGTACCACTACTTCAAAAAAGACATAGGCTACCTGCACTGAACATTATTTTATTAATATTATAATTATTGCCATTTTTGTTTGTTTTGATTGTTATTGTTGTTCCAGTATTTTTCATCAAAAATTGAAAAAAACATAATTGAATTATTAGTTTTTCATGTTTAGAATAATTTATTTTAAAGTTTTATAAAAATGCAATAAATTATGTAAGCTCAGCAACAGCCAATCAGAACAGAATAAACATTTAAATTCAAACTGATTGTCACCAACAGTTGCTAATATTTTTATGGCCAAATTATCTTAATTTTATATAGACATGGGGCAGAAACACAGATGCTATTTTTATATAAACTTGTCTAGTGATTTATAGATCAATAGTCATACTGTCCAAAAATGACAAAAAACAAATCTGGTTCTGAATGAAATCAATATGAGTCAAACTGAAAGTGTCATGGAGTCAAAAGCCTCATGGAATTAACAATGACATATAAAAAACCCCCATTAAAATTAAAGGTATAAAATAAAATCTCATTGAAAACCTTAAGAAGTGATAAGTCCGTTATTACCATTATGGTCTGTAAAGTATATTACAGTATTATTTTACATTATAATTGAAAAAAATTAAATCTCAGTTCTTGCATATTCTCTTCGGTCAACTGTATTAATTGTTATTCAAAATGTCTTGCCATATCAGCATGGTCCTTTGTATTTAGTTTAGCTTCTTTGTTTATTTTTGCATTATGTTCTTTGTGTTTTCTGTTTAGTTTCCTTAGGTCAGTTTTACATTTTCTTTGTTAATTGTTGTTTCCTCTATAGTTTATCTCCTGTTATGGCTTCCATCAAATTGTTATTGCTTTTAAACTAAAACGTTGTTTCTGACCTTAATTGTTGTAATCTGCAGCCTTCAGTCTGTAGAAAACCACAGAGCTCCTTCACTCCAGAATCTTCCAGGTTGGTCCAGCCCAGCTCCAGTAATATCAGATGGGTCGGGTTGGACTTCAGAGCTGAGAACAGAGAAATCCAGCTGGCCTCTGACAAATTGTAGCCCCCCAATCTGAATAAAGAATAAAAGATGTGAGCTGAAGCCAACAGGATGAAGGTTAAAACTGAAATATGAACAAATAAATAATGAAAATGTAGAAAATTAATTTAATTACACAGATCTGATGCTGGAAAAGACAAAGGCTACAATTCTCCAATCACATCATAACTCTTCTTTTCTTTAGTGTCTGAATGATGATTGGCTGATACTACTGACCAAACAGCACAGATCATCTATATAAATATAACTTTGGATGTGAAAATGTGCACCAGCACCAGGGATAACTCCAATTAACAAAGGTTCAGATTATTTGACAGCAGAAGCTTTTACTTTTCGCAGTTATTTTATGCAACATATTTAGGTATTGACTATTTTGAAGTGGAATATTTCCTTTTATATTAAAACAAACAACACATAAAATTGGCTCTTAAACTTGAGAGGGAAACACTTTTCAACATTATGTAAATTTATTGTTCTATCTTTTGTGTATTTAAGTATTTTTACACTTAGTCTCTAATTTCACACTGAGTTTTGTTGGTCAACATTAGTTTAGTTACACGTATTTAAAAAATATTTTTTGATATAATTTTTTGCCAGTGTCGCCCACCGCTACTTACAGCCCCATCAAAAAAGATGTAGGCTACCTGCACTGAATATAATTGTTAGGAATTTTTAATGGTGCTATCATTTTGATTTCATTTAGAAGTGTTTGAACTCTTCATTGTCTGTGTCAAGGCCTTTGACTGTTGACTGCTGGGTTGAATACTTTTGGCACCAAGTAAAGATAACTGCTCCCTCCAGCCTTGAGAGAAATCTTTCCCAAGGGAAAGAAAGAACCAAATGTCCTGTGTGTAGACAAAGCTTGCATTGTGTCTCTTCTATTTTTATCTCTTTACTTTTCCAAAATAAAAGGCCAGCTCTAGCTGAGACAGGGTAGAACGCTCAGTGAGAGGCTCAGAGGAACACCTTGCTAAAACTTCTCCTTTTGCAAAAGTTTGGCCATAAAACTCACTTACATTGTCCGTTGTTCTTTTATGTAGGTTCAGAAAAATACCTATCAATTATTTTATTGGTATATAATTATTGTAATTTTTGTTGCTGTTATGATTGTTATTGTTGTTTCAGTATTTTTATTTAATAAAAAATGTTAATAAACACCATTACTGAATTACCAGTTTTTCCGAAAACAAAAAGTCAAATTTATATATATTTTTAAAGGTGTCATCATCATCATATCTTTATGTATAAAAATGCAATAAAAATTCAACCTAAATTATGTAAGTTCAGCAGCAGCCAATCAGAACAGAATAAAAATTTAAATTCAAACTGATCGTCAACAATAGTAATCAAATTTTTATGTTCTGTGACATTTTCTGACATGTTATTCAGTCCAGTTTAAACTCTGAACTATTAGCAAAAAGCTGTAAAAGTAAACATGGATCTATATCAGTCATAACTCTTCTTTTCTTTAGTGTCAGATTCTGGTGCTCCAGCTCCGTGCTGCCTTCAGGAAAACGGGATGCAAGAGTGTCGTCTATTAAATTTCACCACATGGTATTTACCGTGTAAACCAGAGCTTTAAGTGGAAAACATGAGGGCCAAATCCTCTTTATCTTATACAAATATAGGACAGAAAGATGGATAATATTTTTATCTAAATTTGTCTATTGATTTACAGATCAATAGTTTTACTGTCCAGAAATTACAAAGAACAAATCTGGTTCTGAATCAAATCCACCTGAGTCAAATTTAAAGTGCCATGGAGTCAAAAGCCTCGTGGCACCGAGCGTTCCCCTTCAGGTTTGGCATCCTCCCTGGATCAAGTAACTCACCCTTCCAGATCTCAAATAATCACCTCACAGCTTTGGTCTAACTTTATCTGTCTTCTTGCAGACACTGAGTTCCTGATTCCTTCTTACTCCCCCCAAGATCATTTGATTCCTTGCAAATAAATCATTAACTGCTCTCCCTCTGCCAGTGTGTTTTCTGCATATGAGTTCAAAGACTCTCCCAAAACACAACAGTATAATTTATGGCCTCAATATCATCTTACATTATAATTGGGAAAAAAAAATCTCAATTCTTGCCATATTCTGTTCAGTCTCCCGTGTTATTGCTCAAAATGTCTTTCCGTATCAGTATCTTCCTTTGTATTTAGTTTAGTTTGTTTATCTTTACATTTTGTTCTCTGTGTTTTTCTGTTTAGTTTTCTTAGATCAGTTTTAGATTTTCTTGGTTTATTGTTGTTTCCTCTTTAGTTTCTCTCCTGTGTCTCCTTCAGGTTTTATTATTTTCACACTAAAACTTGGTTTCTTACTCCAATGTTTGTAGTCTGCAGCCTTCAGTCTGTAGAAAACCACAGAGCTCCTTCACTGCAGAATCTCCCAGGTTGCTGTCTAACAGGTTCAGTTCTGTCAGATTGGTCGGTTTGGACTTCAGAGCTGAGAACAGAGACGTCCAGCTGGTCTCTGACAAACTGCAGCTGTACAATCTGAATAAAGAATAAAAGATGTAAGCTGAAGCCAACGGGGTGCAGGTTAAAACTGAAATATGAACAAATAAATAATAAAAATCTCCAAAATGTATTTAATTAAACCGATAAGATGCTGTTAAAGTCTAATACTATAATCCTCCAATCACATCAGAGCAGAGTTCTTTGATGTCAGGAATGCTGAATGATGATTGGCTGATACAAATGACCTCCCAGCACAGCACAGATATGACAGGATGGCTACAGGATGGAAATTTAGATTTCATTTCAAATTTTTTGGGGGGAATTTAATTTAAAACAAAATTCAGTCTAAATGAAAGACAGAATCAAATGTTTTTTAATCATTTAAAATGTTAAACTTTAATAAGTTCTGTGTCGTATATTTTTTCAGATATTTTTTTCCCTAGTAAACTCAGAGGGCCGCTCCAAAGCCACATCCGGCCCAGAAAACCGCCAGTTGATTAGCCCTGCTCTAGATCAGAAGGACCCATCATGGGGACGACTGCTGGCTGGACAGATATCTAAAGACAGTCCTGGACAACAAGGATGGAGTCCTGAAAAGGTCAAGAAGCTGGTTGTTCATAGAGCTGCATCCAAGAATATTCAGGGAAAGTTGGTTAGAAGGAAAAACTGGTGGTGAAAATGAGAACCAACACCAGGGATAACTATAACCTTGACAGGATTGTCTGGGGGAGCTTGACCAGGAGAGCACTGAGGCTGGAATCCAAACATCTGGATCCACTACGTTCAGACGGACCAGGGAGGGAGGGAGGGAAGGAGCGTTTCTCTCTCTCTCTCTCGAAAGGAGGCACGCGCAATCCTGCTGAGGTAAAGCAGCGGCAGCGCGCGAGGCAAAGAGCTTATAAACCTATCCTTTAGGAATAAATCTGCTCTGCTAGTGAAATGCTAAGAGCAAAAGAGACGCTTGCAGCCCGGCTTTAAAAA